AAGCATTGGAGGAAAAAAATTAATGTCAATTTTTTTTTTTTTTTTTTTTTTTTTTTTAACGAAACTAAAAACTACTGGTAAGATTAACATACCGACTACTACAAAAAAGTACCAGGCCTGATCAAGTGCTTTTATGGAAGCTTTAAAAATGATAATAAAGTCGACAAAAGTAACAGTGGATAAGATAATGTACAAAATCATTCCTGGTTTATTCTCTCTCCTTAGCTGTGAGATAAAAAAAAACATATAAACATCATTTTCTTTTCAATTTCTTTGATAAACATAACGGATTGATACATACCGAACTATAAGCAAGTATTTCTAAGAAAAGAATCATTATTGTTACAAACAAATGGAAATAATATAGGCCTTTAGAGAGAGAAATAGAATAATTTTCCCTCTGAGTTTGAACGTCAGTAGCACGTAAAGTTGCAATAACTTCAATGGCAGTTAAAAGAACAAAGAAGAGACCAAGTTTGAGAAACAATACAAAAATAAGCACAGTTTTATACATTTCTGTTGAAAAAAAATAAATAAACATTAAATAAAGAAAATATGGCAGTTAAAGTATACATTAAACAACAAATAGGAAATTACTTTGCATTTGGATATCCGCGCCAATTTTCTTGTAATTGTCCCAACCGAAATCAACACACAGTCTAAAACTGATGAATGCGATAATTGTCGCAAAAATTATTAAGGCGATAACAAGAGGTATATCAAATGATCCATGGCGTGGATCGAGGTTAGATAATACGCTATCCCCAGGACAATTTTTGTTTAAATCAGAAAACCATTTTTTGATCTCGAAAATCTGGATCTAATATTATTTTAAATATTTTTGATTGTGTTATTAGGTTGCGGATATTGCATAACTGGTCTAAGAATTGCCGGATTTGAGATAACTTTTCTTCACATGATAGCTTGATTGGATTTACTTTGTAGAAACAATAAATAAAAATCATGGTATCCATTCTTTTTTTTTTAAACCAATTAGAATTTGAAACCGCGGGCAATCAAAATGCTAATTGATTTAAAAAAAATATATATCAAACTTTATAATAACCAAAAGTCCAGCAATTCCTTAACTTTATGCGTAATTATACATGACAAATATCAATTTCTTACAATGCCGAAAAGTGCACAAAGAAAAGAGTATAGGTGGATTTTAGTAGGAT